GGAAGGGCAAAAAGTGAACTGGAGGTTAGAGCAACACGTGTAATGTTCAGGGATTTGGAAACACAAAATGACTTATGACTGAAGCTGCCTGTTCTGAGTATTGTGTATTTTGAATATAAGGACTAAATCAGGACTAAACCAGAACTAAACCAGAAATAAACCAGGACTAAATCAAGACTAGATCAGAATGAACCAGGACTAAACCAAGACTAAACAAGAAATAAACCAGGACTAAACCAGGAATAAACCAGGACTAAGGTAGAACTAAACCAAAACTAAACCAGGATTAAGCCAGGATTTAACCAGTACTATACCAGTATTACCATATACTATACCCATGTATTTAGAATGTACTGGGAAGCTGTGCAAATTTACTAAAAGTCTTAAATACTACTACAGGGTGTAATTTCTGAACTTTTTTTCTTATTTTGTCATATATACACATTGCAAAACTGAATTTGCAGCCAATAATGTAAAGAATAATCATAAACTACTCAGAGTGCTTAATTCTCCTTGGTGGAGAAAGCAAAGTCATTTGATTGACTAAACCTAAAGATGCACTACATAACTTTTTTGAAGGTGTTATTGCTTTGCCTGTATAGTTCCAGGTATAGCATGGTAATAAGCACATGTATTTTGTAACAAGCAGCTGCAATTGTAAAATATGCAAGATATATACCCACATAGCAAAAAATATCCACGGCGGATCCGCGGCGGATCCTGATGCTAGTAGGGTACATTTAATGCCAAATAGTGGAATATTAGGCAAACCAAAAACATCTTCATGAGAAGAGCAGGTGAAGGACACTATGCCAGAAAAGTTACCTTTAATAGCACCTGTTTGTTTCTATGGATATGTCATTGCTCTTCCTAGAATGTTTCACAATATGACAGTAAACAAATTTACCTTACATTTATTCAGTAACACTTGGTTTTATAGCTCAAAAACCTAAAAAAAAAACAAACAAAAAAACAGGTATTCTGACTATGAGCGACGTGGCCTCTCCACAGATCTGACCCCTAAAGGCCAATTTACGGTCCAGCGTCAAATCGTCGACGCGTACCCCCTACGCAGAGCCTCTGCGTCGTCCGACGTGCACCTCCGAAATTTTCTAACTACGCGTCAGCAGGGGAAGCGACGCAGATGATAAGAGTTGTGATTGGTCCTCCGTACCACCGCTCTGTTTACATTTCCTGTCGGCTTTTCTTTCTTTCAGTATACATTGAGAAATAATGTGTTTAATGCAGCTTTGCGCATATGTGTTTACGTTTTACAGAAACGAAACTTAAAACCGCATGGCTAACTTGCATAAACAAAGCGCTCAAAAAACAGCTCGCTCCTGGTCAGCTTCTCTCGGACTTAAAAAGGACACGACTCAGTGGAATATGAGTGTTCTTTCTGTGACAGAGGGATATTGTACTAATGGTGAGTCTGTTCTGTGCTTTTATCGCGTTAGAGATGGTTCATGTTAAACTTTTCAGAGATTATACGTCTGCGGGTCATACACACAGACCGTATATATGAATGGACAGATATCGTCGCCCCCTAGCGTTTTGGCAGTGAATTACTTCGCGGTGCACAGACCTCGGCGCAGATCCATAAATCAAAAACGACGACGACAAGGCAACGGCGGCAGTGCGCGTTGAATCGACGCAGAACTATACTTCAGCCTTAACTTGGTCTGATTTGGTCATCATGATCATAGAAAGGTTTAATACCATAAACATTCCAGACAAAGCAATAACATCTCCAAGAGACACTGGACCCTCCACCAGAAAAGTTACACAATGGACCTTTAACTTGAGGTATGACTTCTTCTAAAATGCATGAGTATTAGTAGATTATTATTCTTATTAAGTGCAGTTAGTATTCCCCGATCAAGATGAAAAACATATAGTTTACTGGAATACTGAAACTAACCATATTTTCCAGTCAGTATCTAATTTCAGAATAGCCCAGTAACATAAAAAACAGATTTTCAACACATAAAATCAGCGTTAGACACCCTCCCCCCACTCTCACTGGTCTTTTTGCTACATATCAACACATTTTTCTTACACTGAAACCCCGTATATGACCACGATGACTGTAGGAATCAAGAATGAAGACCAGACCTCTACATTATCACCAGCTAAATGATTTCCATGTGCTTGTGAATCTACGTCTATGTTACTGCTCCATCCACAGCTACAGATTGTTTTCACACAGAAGCAGTGATTCTTTACATTTTAACAATGATATTAAAAATATATATATTCATATTGATCTAAACTAAGACTTAAGTAGTGCAAGGACCAAATCAGACCTTTATCAATACTACACCATAAGAGGACACAAGGACTGTGCTTAAACCAGGACTAAATAAGGACTCAACCAGGCCTAAAAATGGACTAAACTATGACTAAACACTGACACAAAACTAAACCAGCACTAAACTAGGACACAACCAGTGCTAAACCACGACTAAACCAGGACTAAATGGGGACTAAACCAGATTTAAACAAGAACTATACCAGGAAAAAAACAGAACTAAACCAGGACTAAAGAAGGTATAGATCAGGACTAAACCAGGACAAAATCAGGACACAACCTCCACTAAACCAGAACTAGACCAAGACTAAATCAAGACTAAACCAGCACTAAACTAAGGACTAAGCCAGGACTTAACCTGGACTATATCAGTACTAAACTAGGACTAAACTGGAACTAAGGCACTACTAAACCAGAACTAAACCAGGAATAAGGCAGAAATAAACCAGGACTAAACCAGAGCTAAACCACTAATAAACCAGTACTAAACTAGGACTATACAAGTACTAAACCAGAACTAAACCAGGACTATACAAGTACTAAACCAGGACTAAACCCGGGTAGTACCGTGCAGGGGCGCCCGTCCACTGTGGCCTCGTTGAAGGTCTCTCCTACAGTGAAGGACACGTTGGTGGTGCGGACGCTGGTGGAGGTTTTGATGGACAGAGTCTCATCCTGCTGAGAAATCTCCACGGCCGGACTGGAGGCCGCTGTCACCGCGATCTTACGCAGAAACACATTTACACCTGAAACAGAGAAAGACAAATACACAAATACATTGGACTCATTTATATTACACAATATAACATTAAACAGCTCTGCCTTATTATTATTCAGTTATAGGTGGTTTTAAAGCTTGAAAATATCTAGAAAAACAGGTATTCTGACTGTGAGAAGGGTTCTCTCCACAGATATGACCTTTCACTTGGTCTTGTTTGGTCTCCATGAAGATAGAAAGTTTTAATACCAAGCAATAACATCTCCATGGAGGAAAGCATTTGATGGACCCTTTACCAGAAAAGTTACACAATGTACCTTTAAGGAAAAGCATGTGTTATGGCAGTCCATCAGAAATGTGCAAACATGTTGAGATTCCAGTATCACACAAAATGTTAATGGACTGTGAAATAACCAGTTCAGAAATGTCCAGACTCAGTTCTGTACCAAACCCAGGAGTCTCAAGTTTAGACTTGATTCAAGCCCTGATTTAGTCCTGGCTTACATTTGTTTTACTGGATGTTTTAATGTTACATTTGTCCTTTCATTCACGGCTAATTCTTATCAGCATTATGGCATGTAAAATGTACATCTATACTATTAAAGGGACAATATTACACCATTCTCTGATCGAATGTAGTTTCACAAACATACTGAAGTTGTGTTTTGTTTCATTCACGCATGTTTAACACACAAAGCCTGCAGATTTAGGTTGAGTTCTTCTCTCAAACAGAAGACTCGTGAAGTCATGTAGTAAAGGCGGCTGTAGCTCAGCTGGTAGAGCGTTTGTTCACTGATCCGAAGGTTGGCGCTCTCGACATAAAGATCACTGGTTGAGCGGTCAGATCCACTGACCCACAGGTTGGCAGTAAGATTCCAGTTCCCACAAATGAATGCTGATGTTATGTTCTTGGGCAAGACCCTTAACCCACCTCTCCCCCAGTGTCTGTGTTCACTGGTGTATGAATGTTTGTGTGAATGGGTGCCTTGAAAGTGGAAAAGCGCTGTATAAAAATGTGTCCATTTACCCTTTAGTAATACAGGAAGTTCTCCTCTGGGTTTTTACCTTCCATACTCTTTTACCAGAATCATTTGGATGATTTCAGTAACATAATTGTCAATTGCTACTGAACTGAAGGTAAAAGGAGCTCTTAACTTAAAAACTACCACCTCAATGGCATAACAAGAGAAGGAAGACAGACTAATAATAACAAAAGATTACTTGAACATGTGTGAATGAAACAAAACACAACTCCATGTTTTTGAGGAGGTAACATCATTGCAACATGGCTTAAAGCTCACAAGAGTAAATTTTATGTAATATAAGACCTTTAATTTAACTACCACTACTGTACCAACCTACATTTCACTAACCTAGCATCGACCTTTCATATTCAAACAGGGACCTCTATGGCCTCTGTTCAAAGACGCTGCGAGTTCAGATGGCGATAAGTGGAAAAAATGTAACAGCATTTGCTCTCGTTGAAAAAGTCTGTGTTGGTTTTGATTGAGTTTCTAAAGTTTCCACAGGCAGCCCAAATTTTCCCCCAGAGAGATGTTTATTTGGACGTTGTAACTTTGGCTCCTCATTTGCAGTATCGTCTTTTTAGTCCATGTGTTTTTTAATGCTTAGCCAGTATTTGTTATTGCCAATGACTTTACAACTCAACAGTTCAGAAGTTTTCTCAGACTCTCGAAAGCTGTCTGCCTGTAAAGGCGTTGCCATTTGGACTAAATCACAAACAGGCTTGGTTTGAATTCAGTTTCAAATATTTCCAGCAGTTATATGTGATGCAGAATGAATACAGTTGGCATCTGTAATTCTTAACAATATTTCTTAAAGGGGCACTGTGCAACTTTACTGGTGAAGGATCCGCGATCAACTTGTCTCCATGGAGATGTTGTTCTTTTGTCTGGAATGTTCCATGGTATGACATTAAACATATCAATCCAGTATTTATTTATTTATTTATTCATTATGGGCTTTTCTATTGCTCAAAAATAAAATATCTTTTCTGAACTGTAATGTAGCGTAGTGCTGTTACCTGCTTGTCTAATCTATACTGTGGAACATTCTAGACAAATGCAATGACATTTCCATGGAGACAAACAGGTGACAGACCCTCCACTAGAAATGTTACGCAGTGAACCTTTACATAGCCATTAGAGATTCCATGTAATCACAATGTTTTAATGTCTTTCAGCCAAGAAGCTGTAAATTCAGTACTTAGACTGATCAACACACTGCGTGCATGTTATTCTAGAACTCCAGTTTGCTCGCACAAAACTAACTTAACTTAAATATGTCCAAATATGTAAATATGTTTCCTCATCACAAACATACCTGGAGCTGTGTTTTATTTCATTCACACGTTTAACACACAACCCTTGCATATTTAGGCTGAGTTCTTCTGTCAAACTGAAAACACTCCACACTCCCATTTTGTGATGTCTTGACATTTTGTTACTCAAACGTGTGAATGAAACAACACCAGCTCAAAGGAGTCAATTCTGCTTAATATAGAACCTTTAAACTTTGCTATTGGACTTTTCGTGGCCAGTGGATTTGTACTAAAACAGGATGATGTCTTAAATCTCATTCATCTCTGGTTTATGAACTAAAGCAGGCATAAAGTCCTATTTTAAGCCCTGCAGCAGGTCAGGGGGCCCTATGGGGGTGGGGGAAGGCCATGTTACCAGTGGATTTTTGAAAAGGTTTTATTGGGAAAAGCTGCAGACCCTCTTCACTGAAAGTAATAATAGGTCTGACCAGTCACCAGGCTATGTTCTTTGGGGTTAACTGAAAATAAGTATGCACATTTTTTTTCACACTTTCTTTGGTTAAGTCCTGGTGCCAGCTATAGATCCACTTTAATCATAATTTTAATGTGGCCCATGTTTAAGTATGAGCATATCTGAATACCTCTCCTAAAAGTGGTTTATATTCTCCAATAATACACTTTAAATATTGCAACATAGTACATACAGTCAAAGCGGGTGAAGTGTCTTGCCCAAGGACACAAGAACAGTTTGTCCTGCCAGCGGTGGGGATCTTGTGACTGCTACTATTACAGCTTAACTATCTTATTTACACTGTACTTCTTGATCCTTGTTATAATGTTGTTTCCTCATCACAAACATACCTGGAGTTGTGTTTTGATTGTTTTCATTCACACATGTTAAACACAGAAACCTTGCATGTTTAGACTGAGTTCTTCCCTCTAACAGAAAACACTCTGTTCCACCTTGTGATGTCATGTGGTAATACAGGAAGCACACCACTGTGTTTTTAAATGCCATACACCCTCACAGCAGAATCATCTGGATAATTTCAGCCCTGGAATTGTCTATCTATAGCCAAGCTAGCGCCACCTTGTGCCTCTGCTCAATTTCATTTCTCTTCAGCGACTAGGTCAGCAATTGGAATACACAAGACGGTTTACAAAAGCCCCAGAAGTGTGAGTTTGGGCACCAGCCAATCAGCAAAGAGCCATACATTTTGTGTTGGCAACGATTCCCAAGATTGAGGAGTTAAAGCTGGAACAAAGAGAATGTTTGGTGAATTTTGTCAAAGGGAAAGACGTTATTGCCCTTCTACCTACGGGATTTGGGAAAAGCTAAATAAATACCAGTTAACCCTGTTCACAGCGCATTACATAAGTCACAACCAAATAGCAGTGATTAGTTAAATGAAAAAAGTATCCGCTTACCATCGAGCAAACAAATTCTAATGCTGCAAGGTCAGACGGTTTCCATGAAGTAAAACTGGCTGATGAATCAGGCTAGATCATCTCTATTGAACAAGGTAAAATGTAGCTGTTAAGTCAAAAACTACCACTACATGACATCACAAGTTTGAATACAGCATTTTGAGCTTTGGACATAGAGAGAATAATAATAAAGGGTTACATAACATAATATAATTCCAGGTTTTTGGTAAGATAACAACATTCTAATGCGGCTTAAAGCTCACAAAACTCAACTTTGAGTAATACAGGACCTTAAAGATTTATAATGTATACTTGTACTTTGCATATACACTTTTATAATTATGTCTTATATGACACCTCACTTGCTATCTTTTTTGCTACTTATTTAGAATTTATTATTACCATTTATATTTTTTGCCCTTTGTTATTATAATATATTATGATATGTGAGCTACTGTGTAGTAGTAATTTCCCTTATTGATCAATTAAGTTTGTCTAAGTCTAAGTCTTTTTAATTTATATTTATTTAAGTATAAATTCAAAATATTACAACTTATTTGTCCAATAAACTATATTTAAAATATAATTCTGTCTGTTTTTTTTAGTAAAGTTGGCACCGAGCTGCGTATAAGCCTGCAGAGGGTGAGGGAGGAAAAACAGGCTAGCTGTGGGGCCCATGTTAAGGCTTAGTTCCGTTTACACTGACTCTAATTACAACCGCATGAGGACCCTGCTTCAGATGAGACCAATCTTCATTCCTCCACGGCCTGTTTGTCTTCAGATTTTTAATGGATGCCACTGGCTGCCCCTGCTCTGACCTCGCTGACATGTACCAAAGTCTCATATATGAAGTTTAGACAATGCATAGACTTATAGGCGCGTATAGAGGTCACGTCGAGATTAAGTCCAGGGCTATGAGGTGAGTTACAAGACTTGGGGACCACACTATATGTAATACTGACCTGTGGGTTTGAGTGGATTAGCAGATCTTATGCCACTGACAGAGTGATTGGCAGCTTATTACCAGTGGTGGAATGTTAAAGTATTAAAGTACTGTATTGAAGTAAAAAGTGTAGGTATCTGTACTTTACTTAAAGGTGCATTGTGTACATTTTCTGATAGAGGGTTCGTCACCTGCTTGTTTCTATGATCTACCTTACATTTATTCAATTACAGGTGGTTTTATAGCTCAAACCTACCTAGAAAAACCTGTAATTTGGTGTGCTTTGGTCTACATGCAAATAGGAAGATTTAATACCACACTACGAAACATTCCAGTTAAAAAAAAAAAGCAATAGCATTTCCATGGCATCAGAAAAGCATCTGACAGACTCTCCACCAGAAAAGTTGCACAATGCACCTTTAAGTACATTTTAAAGTAGATACTTTTTAGTTTTGTTTCATTACATTTGAGAGCAGGTTTCTGTACTTTCCACTGCACTACTAGACTGAAAAGTAAAAGTTTTTTTTTTTTATTGTGTGAGGGGTTTGTGAGGAGTTATGAGGGGTTTATTTTTTAACATGTTCATACTTTCGGCAAACAAAGCATATACAAATAACACCAGCTACAAAAAACAAAATTTTAAAAATCTGCAATAATTGATTCAGTAGTTTCTATTGAAGAAAATTCTGCACAAATCTTTAGTAACATCTCTACACTTGACATTTTGTTGGATCTCAAAATCTGCATGAAACACTTTTACTTTTTATTCTTTAAGCACATTTTAAACAGGTACTTTACTTAAGTAGATTTTTCATGTGATACTTTTACTTTTACGTTAGTACTTTTTTGTGTCAAATTCGAGTACTTCTTCCACCACTGTTCATTACGCAATATTTCACCAGAAATTGCTCCAATTTTGTGCAGTGCGTATTTCTTCCATAATCGTTTTTAGACACATTGAAGCCTTTTAGTTTCAAAACAAACAAAGCAATTTCAGTGCCTTAAAAGAACTATATATTTTTTCATGTTACATTTTATTCAAGATGTAATGTTTACAAAGATGTAACGTTTTTTGTTGGGAATCTGTCACCTGCTTGTTTCTATGGATATATGTCATTGCTCTGCCTGGAATGTTCCACAGTATGACATTAAACAGCTCAATCTTACATTTATCCAGTTACAGCTGGTTTTATAGTTCAAAAATATCTACAAAAACAAGTATTCTGATTGTAAGTGGGGTTGCCTCTCCACAGATATGACCTGTAACTTGGTTTGGCTTGGTCTCCATGAAGATAGAAAGGTTAATGCCATACTGTGAAACATTCCAGACAAAGCAAAAACATCTCCATGGGGAAAAGCATTTGATGGACCCTCTACCAGAAAAGTTACACAATGCACCTTTAAGTGAAGAGAGGAAAATAACATGGAATCTGATCAACAGTGCTCCCTATAATCTATAACATTGAATTTATGTCACAAGTGTCAACCTTTGGACACATTTTATTTTTTTTTCCAATAAATCGCCAACAAAGATCTTTTATCCATTTTATCTCCAGAATGTGCTAAAAAAAACTACTTTACCTTGATATTTTCTTCCAGATCGTTGTTGTTTTCACTCATAAATAATAAGTACAATTCTATAATGGTTGTTTATTCATAATATAAAAAATATAATTAATCCTATGCATAACATTTTTAAACTGTCAACAACTTACATAATCGTTAAGCGCAATTATTTTAACCATGAAATTTTTATATTGTACCATGCCTAGTTTTTTGTCTGCAAAGAAAAAAAAAATCAAAAATCAAAAAAAAAAAAAAAAAGAGACATAAACTCTTGTAACTCTTGTATATATGCATGAGAACACAGCTATTAATCCTGCTGTTACAGATACACAACAACGCTGGCTTGTATAAAAATTGGCTTCATATGAAACCTGTCAGTCAGAGTAACACGGAGGATCAAGGTGAACTGGTTTCTCTGTCTTCATGCAAAAGTAGCTATTGTTCTTCATGCCAAGAAACCATCCCAGCAAATTAGATCTTACCCAGTTTAATAATTTTGATCCTGAACATTATGCAATCCCTTTCTGGCATCGACACTAGTATCTACTGTTCAGACTTGCTAGAAAAGAAACATAATTTTTTAATTCCCACATGGAAGCTTGTTTTCACACTCCAGCTACATCTTTAAATGGTCAAAATGAAAACTCCTGCTCATATTGTATTAAAGGTGCATTGTGTAACTTTGCTTGTGTCTATGGACTGCTCACTCATTGCTCTGCCTGAAGTGTTCCGCAGTATGACATTAAAATGCTCTACCTTACATTCATTCAATTACAGGTGGTTTTATAGCTCAAAAATACAGAGAAAAACAAACATTCTGACTGTAAGTGGGGTTGCCTATTCACAGATCTGAGCTGTAACTTGGTCTGATTTGGTCTCCATGAAGATAGAAAGCTGTAATGCCATACTGTGAAACATTTCTCCACCGCTATGGAGAAAAGAATTTGACGAACCCTCCACCAGAAATTTTACACAATGCACCTTTAACGCAACAATCAATATGTGGTCAGTCAAAATTCAGCATAACCACTGAACTACAATGCTTTTTGGTGAGGGAATTTGCAAGAAGACCTAAAGATGTTTGGGTAAATCAACTCTATTTTTTTGTTGGTAAAATGCTTGCACCATAAGCTACTGAGTTAAATACACGCATTAGTCTAATTGGTTAACTCACCAAGCGCTTTTAAAAGTTCCTCAAAGTTTTCAGAAGATTTCATTTTCCATTTGCCTGAAAAGTCTGCATACTTCTTCTCCATTTCTGTGCAGTTGCAGTTTACTTAAAGTTGCTTGTTGTTGTGTTTGGTCCGCCTAGTCCCGGTCTGTCCCTCTTCTGTAGACGAGCTCCTGCTTTTCTCTCTTCATCTATGCCTTCATTCATTGGCTTGCTTGGATGTGATGCACAGGGGAGAGAGGGGTGTGGAGAGGGGACTGGACCCCCCCCCCCCCCCCCCCGCCCCCAGTGACGGGCTGCCTCTGCCTCCGTCTCAGCGCGGTGGTGAAAGATTTGGATACCAGCTGAAAAAATGCATTTTCCAGTAAGTGGTTTGATGTTGAAGTTAAAGTGATAATTAATTTCTGTTTTCATAACGGTAAATCCTAGACTTTCCTTGTCATTGTCACAGTAAATCTTATGTCTATGTTGTGTATTGATTTGGTGTATTATTTAAGTCAGATGCCCTACCAGATAAAAGTATAACTCTATTCAATAACAGTGGAACAAGCAGAAAGATGAATAATAATTACAGGACCTTTCAAGACTTTTACAGAGCATTATTTTCTCATTCCACAGTCTGTAATGGTAAATGTATTGCTATAGCCACAGCTGCCCTAGGGCAGACTGACGGAAGCCAGACTGCCACTCTGCAAGATCTGCCACTCTGACCACCACCAACACTCACACAGACACACCACATTCATATTAGGCATTGTGGGTAAGGTGACATGCATAAAGGCACAACAACAGTATGCACAAGTTCCACTGCTGTCAGTGCCATCGCACAATATAAACAGTGTGTAAGGCACCAAGTGCTCGCTGGGGCACCACCAAAAAATCAGGTTCATGAATCCTCGCAACACTATCCATCCCAAGTGCAAGGAGAGCGGTGAGAAGCCGCTGCCAGCACGAACAGAATCCCTCTGCCTCTCTCTCGCTCTCTCTGAATCTCTCTCTCTCAATCTCTCTCTTTTTCACTTTCTTATTTAAAGTTCCTTGATTGAGTAAGTTCTATTGCACAATTATTTGTACTTATGTACATTATTTACCTAAAATTTGCAGATTATTACTTACAATTATATACTTGTTCTGTGTTTACAATGTGCAGTTCAATGTTCAGTCTGCAGTCATTACACAAAATTAGCCTTTTTTAAAATAATTTATAATTTTAACTTTCATGTTTAGTGTATTTGTTTTGGAAATAAAGCAAACCGCAGTGATAAATTCTGAATTACTGGTCATTCGGAGCGGAGCGGGGTGATATATACTGGGGCACCACAAAGCATTTGTGCTTAGGGCACCCAAATGGCTAGCAACGGCACTGACTGCTGCCTCACTTGTGCACCTGGTATTTTCAGTGATGACTGGGAATTTCCAAGGTTATATGGCCAGAATACCTTCTTATCACTTATGGCTAGAGTGGTAGTTCTTTAATAATAGCGATCGAACTGAGCCATGTACACAGCTAAATAAAAACTATAATCAATAAACTTGGTTTAAACTTGGAAATGGTTTTGGTTACCTGCTGATACCTACAAATGAGTGCATAAAAAGTCTCCTTTGACATCTCCACCTAAATAAATAAAGTTTTATTGGCGATTCCAGAGCTGAAATGATCCAACTGAGGTGTTTGGAGTTTAAAAACAGAATGAAACACTTTGTTTATTACCACATGACATCACAAAGTGGAACAGAGTGTTTATTTTTTGAGAGAAGACTAAATATGCAGGATCTGTGTATTACATATGTGTGAATGAAACAAAACACAACTCTGGGTATGTTTTTGATAAGGAAACAACATTATAACATAGATCAGAAAACTGCATAATATGGGGCCTTCAGCCTTCACTGTACTTAATCTCGTCTTTAAAATGTTACATCTCCAGCGAATAAAGAGGTATAAGATTATAGCCTGTAAGAGATGTTTGGTATGTGAAATCAGATAGTGTGTTAAAGTGTTAGAGAGCGGAGGTGGGGCAGGTAATGACAGACTCACAGATAACACTGGCAGCTGGAGGCATCTGTCCTGACACTGAGCAGAGCCTGGTTTAAAGCTGTAGTGTTGTATCAGTGACACATAATGGGCTCATATCTAAAGTGAGCAGATGTGGTTCATGTCCAGAGGGTTTTGCACAATAGATCCAGCTGTTCAGAACAGGTAAAATGTGCACTTTTAATAGGCCCATATTACAGCGTTTTCTGATCTATGTTAAAATGATGTTACCTCATCAAAAGCATACTCAGAGTATAGTTTGGCTTTATTGATGTCATATGGTAATACAAGAAATGCTCCACTGTGGTTTTAAATGTGGTTTTGAATCATTTGGAAAATTTCCGCCCTAAAAGTTACAATACCCACTAAACAATAGTAAAAGGTAGTTGTAAACTTGAAAACTACCACACATCACAGAGCATTTGGCACTTTGGAGATGTAGACAGTCAAATAATAAATATTAATAACTAAAACATGTGTGAATGAAATAAAACAGAACTCCAGGTATGTTTTGAGGAGGTAACAACATTGCTGCATAATCTAAAGCTCACAAGAAAAAAAATGCATATAATGACACCATTAAACTCAATCTGTTTTACAGTTTGTGTATTTATTTTGCCTCTATGTCTTATAATAGGCTCAAATTAAATCAAATTAAACCAAAAGATAATGGTATGGCATAGGTCTATTGAATAGGGACTATGTGTTTTGATTAGTGTGATAACTTGTCTTTTTTTCCTTGCCCAATCCTGGGCACAACAGGTGATAAAAACTGACATATTAAAATGAGGCTCATTATAGAGTAGGCCAGTGTTTTCCAACCAGGAATACAAAGACCATTTGGACTATGCAAGAGGCCAAGGGGTACTTGAAAGTGAAATTGATTAGTATTTGAAGATGAAATGTTCTTTGTAGTATAAATATACTACATCCTTGGGATATTACTAGTTAAAACTTGAGTAAACCAGATTCATATTAAATGATTATCACTACACCACTTGGAATGTCAGACAAATCTTAGGGCATACACAAGATTAAAAAAGACCCACAGCAGTTATGAGGTTCCTCCATTGTTCATATTGTACAAATTTAATTGTGTAACATTTGTGAGTATGGGTTTGATACCTGATTGTCTCCATGGAGATGATATTGCTTTGCCTGGGATGCTACAGAGCATGGCATTTATTATGTTACACATTATTTCATTGCTGCAAAACATGCATTCGCCTCATATAGATCTGACATATAACTTGGCCTGGTGGCGCCACCTACTTGTGTCCATGGAAGCAGATGAGGTTCATGCTACTGTAGAATATTATAGGCAAGGCGATAAACCATAATAATCCCCATGGTGACAAACAGGGGGGAGAAAGGTTACATACAAAACTGTGAAACATACAGGATACAGAACTTAATTTTTAAAAAGCAATCTAAATGTGGAATAAACCTTCAAGCTTCAAAGGGCCCATATTATATTATTATCTGATCTATGTTACAATGTTTTTTCCTCATCACAAACAGACCTGGAGTTGTGTTTTTTTTAATTCACACAAGTTTAACACACAAATCCTGCATATTTAGGCTGAGTTCTTCAGAAAACAGAAAACACTCATACACCTTCACTAGAATCATTTTGATCATTTCAGCCTTGGATTTGCCATTCTCCACTGATTAAATGTAAAAACCAGCCATTAATTTGAAAACTACTCCATCATGACATCACAAGTTGGAACAGAGCATTATGTTTTTTAGAGATGTAGACAGATTATTTATTCAGACTACTCAAACATTATTCAAACATGACAATGTGAAAAAATGAAACAAAACACAACTCCAGGTATGTTTTTGAGGAGGCAACAACATTACAATTGGCTTAAAACTCACAAAAATCCATTTTGTGTAATATAGGATCTTTCAGTTCACTGAGCTTTCTGCTTCTTCTTACTTTGTGTCAATATTTTCCTGCAGTAAACGGTGCCAACAAGACATCAACAGGTCTGGATCAGAGGAGATGAGCCTGGAAACATGATGCAGTGGATTCACCAAACAAAAGGAGCTGTGATGTTATCTGCATTCCTCCCTGTGGCACCATACACAAGATACTGTAAGCTATAGGGTTACTGTAACATGGGAATTAACCTCTCCAGCTATGTTTTATACAAAGAAAACACATAAAAGCACATTTAAATGCAAAGTAGTGGTGTGGTTAATACAGACTCACCGCTGGTTGACCTCAGTTAGAGATGTTCGTTACAACCCCAACCAAAGATCAGAAAAAAGAAAAAAAAATACATAATAGATTTGCTGAAAGAACACCACTGGACACCAGTGCACCTGTTTCACAAACGTGCTTCAGGCCATGAGATAAAATAACGCTGTCAGCACAGCTATATAAGGCTATATGTAAAATGTAGGTAAATCCATCTTTCGTCGGGGGATAATTTTACTCTTCTCAAATGAAATTAACAAAACCAGCTGTAAATTTCCACATATTAATATTAAATTGACTCTTGTGAGCTTTAACCCATGCAGCAATGTTGTTACCTCATTGAAAAACATACCTGGAGTTTTTTTCTTTTTTTTTTCAGTGTATTTGTCAGTGGAACTGTCGTCTCTGTGGCACCAAGACGCAGCACTTGGTCCATCCTTCATGTGGCAAGCGTGAAGCCCCACAGCCACGAGTCTGTGCGGGTAGGACGTCTTGCGTGATTTGAATAATCTTTTATTATAAGTAGGGTGACCAAGCGTCCTTATTTACCTGGGACAGTCCCAGTTTTGAGCCCTGTATCCCCTGTCTCAACAGATTTATCCAAAACATTTGATTTGTCCCACTTTTAAACAAGAAATGTCCCAGGTGTTCCTATTTTTAACCAATCTGATACCCGCCAACAGTAAAGAGAGGCATAAATTGTCATCTGTTTAGTTAAATTACATAAAAACTGCTTAAAAATGACCAAAACATAAAGAAAATGTGACTATATTGGCTCACACTTAATAATATAAGTCATGAATGGGCCGAGAGCATAACAGTTTTCCTTAATAATGCACTCGTTTCACAATTTTATTATTACCAATCACCTGAAACCGGGGATGTCCCAGTTTCAGATTATGAAAATCTGGCCACCCTAATTATAAGTCTCTCTCATGGATCTATCTCCAAAGCTCAAAATGCTCTTCCACCTTGATGTCATGAAGCAGTAGTTTTCAAGTAAACAATCAGCAATATTTACCTTTAGCTGAGTAGAATTGGCAAGGCCTGTTGTTGATGATTTCAGTGTATTTTTGCAACTTTACAACACTGAAGGACAGACGTCTTTTATTCTAGTAAGATGACGTATGTATTTTTGCAGAAATGCGACATCTAGCGTTTGCACTTTGACGCGGACCATTCCATCTCACTGCATTGTTTCCAGACGATCGTCATTACGGGGAGCACCAGGTCCATCATGGCGCGGCACCTTCGCTTCGTTGCTCGGACAGTGATGGTCCCAGATGGAAATGTGGACGCCGCATTCAAGACTTTAACCAGGTCAGAGTCTGTGAGGTGTAGGCAAATATGTTTTCTATGAGTTTGTCGATCGTGAATAATTTTTCTTTAAGGCCAAGCACTGTACTGTCCTTTGAATGTCATAACACTACGCATGCGTCCTTCACGGTTTGGGTTATAAACTCTTTCTGTCACTTTTAATCATTTTCAATATAGCACTGACATTCCGTAACCAAAGTAGACCATTACACGCACTGTCAAATTTCAAAATGATTACAATATAGGTACTGGACACTCCATTCAAAGTAAATATTTATTGAAATATTATGGTCATGTTTTTAGACCATTGCAACTGTTTACCTGAATGTCTTGTGGACTGCAGGTTCAACAAATATTTAAATGTACATTTTATTATGCATTTTAATAATTGTAGGCTTTATGTTTTTAACTGTTAACTCATGACTTTCGAAAATGAGATGAAGATCTTAATGGGACTTGCTAAAAAAAATCTAATAAAAATAAATAAATACATACATACTGGGGAAGTAATTTAGAATCTATGCATAATACAGTACAAGAAAGTTTTATTGACATTATCAGTGAATGAAATTCACAAACTGAGAAAGCACTTTAGTGATATTGTACAACATAACACAAAGAATGGAAGTAGTAAAATATAAACTATGATAAAAGCGTGCTTGAATAAAGACAGACTACAGTATGGACAGAATACTGCAAATGCCAAACTAGCAGTGCAAATAGTTGAAGTACTGCTGAAGTGAGTTGCTTTTTATAGGCTATATGCTGACTAATAGTCTGAAAAGATCAGTCATAATCCTGATAATAATACCACATTCTTTAAAGTACTGTATTACACATAATTGACTCTTGTGATCTTTAAGTCATATGTTCTGATGATGTTTCTTAATCAGAAACATAACTAGAGTTGTGTTTTGGTTCATTCACATGTCACATGTCTGAGTAATACTTTATTTGTAGTCTGTCTACAAAGGTGTATGTCAACATTTGTCCAATTGACAAATTTAATTTCTCCTTTGCTATATATCTTCAAAGCTCAAAATGCTCTGTTCCACCTTGTGATGTCATGTAGTGGTAGTTTTCAAGTTAACGCTACCTTTTACCTTTAGTACAGTGAAGATTGGCAATTCCCAGTCTGAAATCATCCAAATTATTCTAGTGAAGGTATATGGAGTTTAAAAATATGGTGGAGCACTTCCTGTATTTCAGTGTTACATCACAAGGTGGAGAGTTTTGAAGGAAATACTGAGCCTAAATATGCAGGGTTAGTGTCTTAAACATGTGTGAATGAAACAAAACACAACTCCAGGTATCTGATGAGGAAACAACATTATAACACAGATGACAATAGAGTCATGTACCCCCGTGTTAAATACATGGAAACCTTATTCTAAGTGGACCTTATTGTTGTTTTCTTCAGGGTCCTGAATCAAGATGGAATCATTGACACGGTGAAGAGGAGGCGTTACTATGAGAAGCCATGCCGGGAGCGAATCCGAAAAAACTTTGAGAACTGCAGGAGAATCTACCACTCTGAAATGGCACGCAAAATCGCCTTCATCTCCCGGACAAACAGAGAAGACCCCTGGCTTGGCTGCTAGTCGTATGGAGTATATTGAACTAACAAATATTTCATGAAAACACACATCGCCCAGCAAAGGAAACTGCAAGAATGCTCAAGTGTGAACTGGGGAATTTTGTCAATACATTGTTATGATGTTATATCTACAATTATATAAACATTGATTGGTTAAATACACATATTACATTTGAATGATTTTATTTTGCTCTTTCTTTAATGAATCACATCAGTTACTCAAAGGTCTACGTTTTCAGATACAGGTTTGGTAAAAATACTTTGCTTTATATCTACACTAAAGTAATAACATCGATAAGGCAAGCTGTTTCCAGACACACTATAAAACACCACTAGCCAACTATTTTAATTGTGCTCATCATGTTACCCTAAGATTGTGCAAGAGCCTGTAGCCCTGTATCAGTTATAAAGCATTTTATAAGAAATGTCAAAAACACACACAGACACACACGTTTAACCTGATCATTTTTATCGGCCACACAACAAGGTACAGCGTCCCACTATATCCACCAACACCATAACATCTGCACATAAACAGAGATATTTTCAGGTCTGTAGGACATTATGCTGCAATACAAATCATTTTTTGTCCATTAAGTTTGATCAGTTTGTTCCCCTAATTCAGAAATGTTTGTTATTATAGTTGCCCATTTAAAATAGTGTCACCTTGGTTTAATTGTGGTGTGAGTAAAGCCAGCCATGTGTTTATGTGTTTTGTAACAGTGTCAGTGAACATTTAATCCACTGGATGGCTTTAATGTGTGTACTTAAGCTTTGCAACTGGACTTGGAACAAAGTTAAACATTTACTCCCCGCTTACTGGATACAAAGGTTATCAGGTCGTATTGGTCCTGTCTGCAGTGTGAGGACAGAGGGTGCTGCCAGTGACCTATATCTCACTGTGGGACTTTAACTTGTTTAGAACCCAAAGTGTCCCTATTTGATTATTTTTTAATGTTTTATGCTGCTGTGAGGTCAGTGTCGGGAAGTACACAAGTACCGAAAATATGTCTTCAGAAATAATATTGAGTGAATGTATTTGGTACATTTATTATTATTATTTTTTAATATTCAGAACACAATCTTTCCCATTCAAAGGAATACACTGTGGTATTTGATGCAAAGTGTAGACTTCAGACTGCACAGTATTAGTGAGAAAAATAGAAAATCCCCTCTAATGCAGGTAAACAGTAGTCTAACTAAATACATTTAGTATGTTTTTGCCAGCACTCACAATGGGTGTGGTAGGCTGTAACTAAATTATGTGTCGGGTTTAACATTTGCAACATTTCCTTTGTTTCTTAAAGAACGTTAAAAGAGCACTCTGTTTCCTAATCTACGCTATAAAATGTTCTCGTCAGAAACGTCACACATTAAACCCACCAACCCTGCATATTTAGTTCTTCTCTCAGATAGGAAGTGCTCCACTGTGTTTTTAAACCCCATACACCTTCACTAGAATAATTTCAATAATTTCAGGACCGTTAAATGAAATACAAACTATTACATGGGACTAGAAAAATTAAGATTGGAACATAGAGAAATACACCTTATTTTATTTACTTTACATTATAGCTCAACAGATCAGTGCGGTACCATCGCTTGTTTAGTACTATAGAAGTCCACCTTACCTTTGCTTTTCAGAAATACATTTTTAGCACGTCCAGCAAGCTGGTACTGTTAATATGGTGATGCATTTTTCTTTATTCTGTAACTAAACTCCTCCAAAATGACTTTCTTTGTCAATTGTTTGTGCTTAAAGCTTCAAATAGCTACAATGGCAATCCACCAATTTAAGCTCAATAAACCTCACACAACCAGTGAACAAATTATACTTTTAAATCTCTGTTGTATCAATAGAAGTTAATTGCTACTGTTTAAAACCCATCTTAAAGTGAAGGTGTAGCTTATTTTAGACTTTGGATAATTTGTCCCATTTTTTATTTATATAAGTTTCCATCTCTGTAATTATCCTGTCTAAACACGCCTAGTCTAAGATATACTGCAGCACTGGACAGTATGGGCTCTCCAGTGGCAAACCTGCATACAAGAAGACTTCGAAACATGCACCAATCTTATTATGTAAGTATGTAAGGTAAGCCCTGGGTACAGTCGATGAGGCTTGATAAATGTACATGTCATCACATTCTGTTACACTACAGTAACTCAATTCACAATTTCTAAATTTAAAAAGTATTTACATGTTCCCAAATGATGCAAAAGTACCATAATATATTTTTATCATGACTGAATGTAAACAAACATAGCCACAAAATAAATGTGAATGAATAAATAGTTGAAATATGCCTAAAATAACCTCAAAAATTTCCATTTCAACATTATGCAACAATTTCAGACAGTATTTTCTGCATCCTTAAAGGCGTAATATGTAACTTTCTGGTGGAATTGCTTGTGCTTGTTGCCAAGGAGATGCAATTGTTTTGCCTGAATGAATGTGCCACAGTATGGTAGTTAACTTACAGGTCAGTTCTGTGGATCCTGCTGAGAGAAAGAAAGAATGCATGTTGTTCAAGATTTTACATTTCAGCAATAAAGCACAACCTGGAAACAATGGATAGATATATAAAGCTAATGCCATACTGTGGAATATTCCAGACAGTGCAGATACAAAGCCCTAGGAAAATGCTAATATGTGATTTGATATAATACTGCAAATGCAACTAGATGTGTGTGTAGAACTACAATACTATACCACTTGACTTGCATAGTTATTGTAATTCACGCGTGTGGGTTATTATAAATACTTAATAATATATCGAGCCTCTAAACACGTGCACCCCGCTCACCTGCTTTACGTAAACCAATCTTATGACGCGCATAAAAAGACAAAATGAGGCTCGACTCGTTTTTACCACAGCCTCACCAGTCCCACGTGTGTCCCAGTCTGATACACCCATGCGTGCGTCCGAGAAAGACAAATCTAACCAAACAGGGCCCAGGAGGTCTACCATTGGGTCCATCTCTCAGCCAATCACAGTCCTGTACTATCCGTCTGAGCCAATCACATCTCTGCGTCCTCTTGCACGTGTTGTCCCAGTTTGCTTTTCCGTGCGGGACTTTAGTACGAGTTGGACACTTGTCAAGGTAAACTATAAAGGAACGGAGCCGGAAAGCTCGCATCATCGGCTTTATAGCGATACATTTAGCCGGCGAATCTGACTATTCTATGTGAACTTGTGGACTCATACTAAATTATTTAAATAATTTTCTCGTGCCTTTTTGGTCGTTTTTCTATGTCTACTTGATTTTCATTGTCTCTTGGTCGCATCACAAAAGGTAAGAACTATATTGCTTCATTATAAACTACGCCTACACACATATATGCTTGAAATAACTCAGACTTAATATCTTAGATTACATGATATATATATATATATATATATATATATATATATATATATATATATATATATATATATATATATTAGGATAGTCCACATGGATTTGAGACTTTTGTGGCACAAATGGCGTATTTGCATAATTTATTCTCATGCAATGTATGGGGTAGGCCAATAAATGCCATCTGCTGTCTATTTAATGCTATCCAGTAATGTAATCTTTTTGTAGACTATGTTTAAGATATGCAATAAGCAACAAACTCTGAATTTGTTATGTAAATATATAGAATAGTCCAGGTTATTTTAGGCCATGTGGGAGAATTTTAGACATGGGAGCGCAGTCCTCTCCTGCATTAATGAGAAACACCGTGTCTACTGTCTAGTAACTTTGAGTAAGTTTTCTTTGCATGCTCCAGCTGTTATAAAACCAGCCCACCTATTTTAACCACAGAGAATCTTGCATAATGCCGTGTAACGAGTCTTTAAATAGCGCTTTACGCTCATGCATGGGGTTTTAATCGTCTCATAATATTACAAGTTAAATGAGGTGACAATCTACAGTCCAGCTGCTGTCCTTGCATAACCTGCGCACATTAGTTACGCCCACAGACGGTTCTGGAAACACCACAGATCAAAATGTTCCACAAACGCTCGGAGTAATAATAATATGACACGTTTTTGGCGTGTCAATAGAGATTAGTCACCCAACCACCATAGTACATGGAGTTCTTATTTAGTTACAATACAAGTTCTTGGCATTGTTCCCGCGCTGGGGTTGTTTGTGGTTTTGTGTTCTTGAGTAATTTGATATCTATACATTGAGGATACATTGCGACACTCCACATCTGCTTCGGGTAAACAAGGACTTGGCTGTGTGCAAATTCTCCACTAGGGCAGATGGGGACAAGAACCATAGGTTAGATGAGGATATAGCCTATACTGTGTAGTGGTAGAAAGGTACGCTGCAAAATGAACAAATGTGAAAACAAGCCTAAGATCTTTTACTTAAGGGAGAGTAACTGTATCCTACTGAATCTGAAAACAAGTTTTAAAATTTAAAAAAGTTGTTTACACAAAACATAAATAGAGTGCACTAACAAATGCATCTTAACTATATCTGATTTTTTGCAATGTTGAAAAGCATTATATTTGTGTTAAAGGTCACAACTCAGCACAAGTAAACCATTAAAAAAATGAGATAAAAAGTAATACTGAAGTTATACTCTAATAGGAAAAAGGAAAGACTGCTGATGTAAGTAGTGGTTACTGCCAGTTATGACATAATGAAGCCTCTATCTCAGGGCCAGACGAAATGCCCTTTGAATTAAGTAATAAATTATTCAACAACAACGGAAAATAAAAAGTCCAGACCAATTTTTTCATGACATCCTTAACTAGGACCATAATAAATGTCTAATAACTTCTTTCCTCGTGGTCTATGCTAAAGTTCCTTCTGTGTTTACACCACTGAATAAATCCAGTGTATTTTTAAAAAGACCTTTGATCGTCATGGGTGTGTCAATATTGTCACATGTGTATAAATAATCATTTAATTTTTTGATTATTTTGCAGATGAATTCGACAGGCAGCGTCTCTAGCTCTCCAGACTTTGTTCCCAGTGACGTGTTCGTAGAAGAGCAGGGAGGTAGTGGCCGACCCAGCACGTCCTGTACCAAAGATAAACACATACCAAACTCTGGACAATGCTTACTGGCTCATTCAAATCACTCTACAACGGAAAAGTCTGCAGCCTCACCGGGAGACCTGGCGTTTGCTCAAAAAGTGGGTACAGCTAATTTAAAACACACTCTTGGCTGTTTTGCATTTTGCCATTGCGTGAATTTGTGAGGAGGAGGAGCCAGTTCTGTTACACAAGTCTCTTCTAGGGGAAATTTACATTGGGTTTGATCCAGTAACTATTGACTGGAGCTGGAGTTAAGTCCTACTTCAGCCCTGGATTAAATGTTGTATAGACATTCTTTGTAGCTTTCTAATACCTGGTTTAGCCTTTAGGTAGTCCAGGTTTTGTTTACACCAAAATGCATTGTATTTTGTTCTGTTTTTTTCATTAGTCTTTGGTCATTTGATAATTTGTCTTCTTGTCAAGTTTTGATTTAGTTCTGTTTAAACAGTTGAAGTAAATCTGGTAAACCATTATGAAACTGATCTACCATACAAAATAATTTACACACAAAAAACAAAACTCACACTACAATGGAATTAAAGCAAAATGGTAATAAATTACAGTTAAAGCACTGGCACAAGAGCGGCAGGTAGTAGGCACATAATATAATATTATTGCTTTGTTGTATATAATGATGTAATAAGACTATAGAGGGACAATGGAGCTCATTCTCAAATAATCTGCTCAAACAGTGAGAAATACCGGTCTACATTCATATCATACTCCATCCAACTGTACAACAATTCACCCTTATGTAACAGGCAACCCTATGTTCCTGTGTCAATCACAACTTCATCTTTGCACGTTTTCTGCTTACCCACCCCTTGTGCAGAGCTGAGATATATTTGTATTACTACATTTTTACTTCTGGATATAAATTTATATAATAATGCCATATCTGACACCAGTCTCTTGCCATTATTGCTACTTATTTTGAATGAATAATTTATATTTCTGTTCTTTTTTTATTATAATATTGTGATGTGTGAGCTACTGTGTCCAAATAATTTCCCTTGTGGATCAGTAAAGCTTCTCTAATTCTATGTCTAAGTAATAATGATGTGTGTGAATGTTTTTAGAATAATCATTTTTATTTAACCATTTCATTATATGTTTGCAGTGTGCAGATCTGCAGAGGTTTCATCGGCCCTTGCTGGAGCTTCTTCATGGACTCAAAAGTGGTCGGTTTGACAAAGGTGTGTACTCAGGAAGCTTCCATAGACATGTGATATCTCTTTGATTTATCAGCCTGCTAACCCTGTTTATGGTCTTTTGTCACAATTGCAGGCCTGACCAGTTTTCAGCAGAGCATTGCCATCGACAGACTGCAAAGGATTGTGGGTATTTTGCAGAAGCCTGAAATGGGGTAAGCAAGTAACAGTATGCAAATTTACAAGCTTACACAAATGTCCTGAAAGGATTTGTAAAGTTTCATTCAATGTATCACTGTTTAAAACCTTTGTGAGTAGTAAGTAGTTTGAGTAGCATGTTATAATGTAGACAATTTCTCAATATAAATACAAAATTCATACACAGACTTAAAGGTTCACTATGTAGCTTTTGTGGTTGGGTTCGCTACCTGCTCATCTTCATTGAGATGTTATTGAAGTGTTCCACAGTATATCATTAGTAAACTTAGATATCTTACATTTATTGTGGTTTTATTGCACAAAAATACCTCCGAAAAGATGTATTCTTTGAGTTCATGCTAAACTGTGGAATATTCTATAGATAAAGCAGTAAGATCTCCATGGAGGCAAGCATATTCTATAGATAAAGCAGTAAGATCTCCATGGAGGCAAGCAGGTAACTGACCATTTTACATAATGCACCTTTAACAATACATTTCCTCAAGCGACAATGTTTACAGTTTATTACCATATTAATTAGATATGCAGGACATTAACACTTTGCTGTGTTCTTACAGTGAGAAATACCTTCACAACCTGCTGCAGATTGAAGTAATGCTGAAGGCCTGGTTTCCCCAACACAACACAAAATCAAATCAGACCAAAGCAACAAAGCATTCTCATCACTGGTGCCAAAACCAGCTGCATATCCCAGTCAAGGTTTGTGTTTTCTGATGTAGCCACCCTGCTTGTCCCCAGTGTAGATGGTACTGCATTGTTCCACAGTATGGCATTAAACATATTTATCTCTGTGGACACAAGCAGGTGACGCCACCAGGCCAAAGTATAGGTCAGATCTGTGGAGAGGTACAATATATGTTTTGCTAGCCATTCAATCACATGTATTTCAGTTGCAAGCTAGTGGTAGATCCCCCACCATAAAAGTTACGTAGTGCACCATTAAATTGCCTCCACTTCTTTACCATTGAAATTGTGATGATTAAGACTCTGTTGGACTTTGACCTATTTTTA